GGTCGAAATGATGCGACGTCCCAGGAACGTCGCCGACCCAACCCAAACATCAGAGCTACATGCGGAAGCGAATAACAAAACCCCGGACAAATAATGACGACAATGGGGTAGAACAACAGAACAATCCAGTAACCACATATTCATACAACACCAAATATACAAATATCATATTATTTACAGACATAAATACAGACTAACATCCTCAGTCACCGTTTAAACAAAAGTTCAGGGGTTTGGTTATCTTAGCTTCACTATCGGATAACCCAAGTTATACAACCCTTAAAACATCCTAGGGAAAAACCTAAGGGTTGCCCTCTTCCATTCTGCTTCTGAATTTCTGGCTTGAATCTCTGGAACTCACCTGCAGCTCCACTGGGCACCAACAGCAGCTCCCCGGACTTCCAAAAAGAAAAGGCGCACTTCCCGGGTTTAGGGCCGAGGGTCTGAAAGTGGCGGTTATACAACCGTGAGACGAATCTCAATAAGTTTACAACCCCAAACCCCACGTAAGCACTCACGTACCGCCGCACGAAAACACACATAACACACAACGATCGGCCAAACTAACAATCACATGCGACCCTACCTGGAATCCATCACGCACGTTCCTGCACGTTAGACAATAACACAGCCAACACATCACAGCAAGGAATCACAGATGCGCGCGTGCCTTAATTATAAGACAGAAACCACTTGGGCACGTCCCATACCGTGCCTAGCAGTTTCTACCCCATAATTAAGCATCACATCACGCGATACAAACACACTCGCACGCTACTCACACCATGCGTCACTTTCCACAATCCTCTCGCTTGTCTTGCCAAATCCCACTCATTCTCAACCTTTCCACCACTACCGCGCCCGCGTAAAACGCATCAGGCCAACGGTCTTCTGACCTCGTCAGGCATCGTCACCCCGTCGGGCCGGGCATCGTCACCTCGTCAGGGATGGCATCGTCCCGCGTAAACGTACACGCCTCAGGACGGAATTCTACACACACTTTCCTTCTACCGCGCCAGCGTAAAACGCATCAGGCCAACGGTCTTTTGACCACGTCAGGCATCGACACCTCGTCAGGCCGGACATCGTCACCTCGTCAGGGACAGCATCGTCCTGCGTAACGTACACGCCTCAGGACGGACCTTTCCAACCAAACCACATTTCCATATCCTCGTTCCACTCAAACCACACTTACGCACAACCAGTACTCGCACGGCCAAACACAATTCCACATTGCATGCACATTTCACAATTCACATACACTTTGCAAATATACATTCTCACCACGCCAGCACACCACACAATCATACACATATAACACGCGATCCCGAAGCACTATCACACATTCTTGGTACGCGAACATATTGCGCAATCGCACTGCCACACCATCACACCTCACGGCCACACACGTGACATATACGACCGCACGTACACAACCCGAAACACAATCCCAAATCAGCCAACTACCACAAATCGGACAATCACGCACAAATTTCCATTCAAGGCACAATCCCAATAATTAATCGCACAAATTAATTCCGATCAAACCTCAACATCACAGCCCGAATCCAAGCTCCCTAAACCTCAAAATTCTTCGCCTAATCAGTCCGCAACCACCAAATAATTAGTCACTCAAATCAGTCCCGAACAGCCCCTAAAACAGTCACAAAAATCGCCTAAACCGGATCCTAAACGAGTCTAGAAATACCCGTGCTCCTAAGTAGTTTTTGGGGGAGACACTTACCCAAAAAGGCGAGACAGAACGGGGCTAGAACGGGCCGGGACAGCGGCAGCAGCGGGAGCGGCGTCGTCGGCGACGTACGGACGGCGTGAACAGTGATTCCCCCGTACGAACGCAGTGAACAGTACTCCCCCATACGGACACTGTACGGACAGGCTGGGAACGGTGGCCGACGAGGTGCCGGTGACAGCCGCGGCGTCCGTACGGTCCATCGTGAACAGTGATCCGTACGGGGACACTGTACGGACGGTGCTGGGCGGCGACGTATGGATGTGCTGGACGGCCGGGCGTCGACGGAACGGCGATTGGAGCTCCGGCGAAGCTCCGGCGGTACTGTTTGTAAAACAGAAAAATGAGAAAAGAGGGAAAAAGGAGAGAGAGGGCTGTTTCTGGACTATAACCGGGGCTGTGGTGGCTGTACAGGTGAGAGGGAGGTCCAAGGGTGCGTGGCGGGGCGGCCCAGCCCGGCTCGGTGGCAGTGCGTTCCGGCGTGAACGATGCACGTAAAATGCGAAACTTGCCCACGGTAGAGAAAAAAAACGCTGAAGAAGAAGAGGAAGAGGGGAATTGGTCTCGGCAGATCAGGAACACACGAATGAGAGAGAGGAAATTCTGGTCAAATGAGTCAAATATAACTTAATGGAATCCAAGTGTCAAAATCTTGGCCAATGGACAATTTTCCCCTTGATCCAAGGGCTAAGATTTGATCTAATCCATTAATCCAAGGGTGAAATGGTCATTTGTCCTTAACCATGGTTGACCAGACCTGAGTTAAGCCTAACTAATCCTGGTTAACCCCCAAAAATTAACTAAATTTCGGAATTAGTGAAAAATGGCCTAGGGGCATTTTCGTAATTTTCCGATCCCGAACCGAAATTCCAATTTTTGCACATACGTATTCCATATGTGCGTGGCCAACATAATATGGTGTCGGAATCGCGAAATTCATCGCGCAAGCCCTCGAAAATCCACGTCAAAGTTTCGGGAATAAAATAATATTATTTTTCCAATTTTTGTCGAAATTCCAATTTTTGGCCAAAACTACTCCCGGTATGCGTGGCCACCCCAAAATGACACTAGCCTCGAAAAATAACCTCAAACGACTTTAGAATCGCCATCGGTGACCAGAGGGGCAAAATCGTCATTTTCCGGGTCCCGGACCGAAATCCATTTTTTTTTGCAGAAATGGGTGGCCCCAAGGTTGGCCAAGCCAAAAACGTCATCGGCCGCTCAAAATTGTCACTTTCAAAATTCTCGATTCCCGGGCCCGAATTCCAAGAAATGACTAAAATTGGACAATTGCAACTTTAGCTTATCTCTGGCTAACGGGTGGCTCATTGGGATTATGCGCTCTCGACCCGTGACCGACACTAAGTCAAATCACGTTTAAGTTTACTCCACCCGAGACGACCTCGATTGTCATATAATTGCGAGGGTCTGTCACTAGTTCCCTTCGGACACGATCAATCAAGTAGACCGGTCTCGGTTGGCTCAAAACATTCCCTCGTCAATCCATATGGTCGAAGATCGAACTCAGGTCGAGTTCTTTGGTCGTGCGAAGTCAATCCCGTAATAGCCCTACCCCTAAGGTTAGCATCCCGAGAATGCGCGGGTCCCGGGTGAGATCTCACTATAAGTGCATTGGCCAAAACATTCATTTCTTAAATCCCGGGAAAAGGATCGAAAATTCAGACTGTTACGCGGGGGCAGCGCCCCTGAAACCTCAACGGGTTTGGGCTTTTATTTAAGCTGGCCCGTATGGTGCGAGATTAAGAGATTTCATATAGGTTTAGGTTTTGGGCCCGTTTGGGGCACATATATATTTTGCTCGTTTTTCTGATCATTGTAACGACTTGAGTGGCTGTAAACCGAAAATATAGTGAAATCTCTTTGCAGGACGTAGCCCTATTCGAGGGTGAACCTGGGTAAATTCGTGCATCGTCTATTTTTCTCTGATTTCTGCGTGATCGTTCTGTGTTCGGTTCTCGATACATCCCTTCAAATAACATGTACAGTCCTTGAACTTTGGCTCAATGTGCAATGTAGTCCTCGAATTTTTAATTTGTCTAATGTGGTATGTGAACTTTACCCTAATATTTAATGTAGTCCATGAACTTTTAATTTGTTTAATGTCGTCTCTGAACTTTTGATACATGTTCAATTAGGTTCCTGAAATATATGAAAACGTTTAATGTAGTCCTGAATTATATATAATATAGGTCCGAATATGTGCATTTTTATTAAGGATGGGATTATTAATGGAGTTGGTGGCCACATCGTAGCATTTATTTAATTAACAGTATATATTAATAAGGCTCCTTGATCTTTCGTCATGTCGGTGATTCAGCCAGCTTGACTTCTTTCCCAAAATGGAAATAATTATCAGCTCTCTCTCATGCCATATCCTTCCAGCTGTAGAACATAATTAATTTCAGGATATACCTGGATTACTTACCATTTTCATATGTATGTACATTTTTCAATTCAAGTAACTATTCAATCCAATTGCATCGATTGAATTCGCCCCTCTTTTGAATTCCACTTTTTGAGATTGCTAGCATAATATAACGCAATTTTGAATAATCAATTCTTCATGTCTCGTGAAACGACACAACTTATCGTAGCACATTTATCTTTTAATTATGTGTCATGGGCCGAAACCTTGAGACCGTGACACATGCATGACGTGAATTTTTCCATTGATCTCGCACTCCCCTATTCTAATACGTTTGATTTTCTTGACATTTCATGCCATGAACAATGAATCACTTGCTCAAGATTGCTTTGGCTTCATTTCCGTTTATTTCCATGCTCAGTGTCATGCGATTTCCATTTCCTAATTGGATTGTAAACGCGTATGTGATCTCAGAGAAATCATTTGATTACCATGCGAGTCCTAGAAGGTTGATTTAGTTTGGACAATGCTAGCTGTTCCGTCATACATACGTATCGTGCCGAAGACGGCTTCACCGCGCGTGTGAAGCATGCCCGGCAATCTATCCCGCGCGTGATTTCCGCAACGACGCGTGCGTGGCGCCGCGATCGGTTTGACGTGGCACCTTCGAGTTTGCATAACCGAACAATCGGCGGATTTGCGCAATTGGTATGTCCATGGACGAACAGAACCTGAAATTATTTCATTCCTTAATGGATATGCGAGGATCATTTCCCATGAAGCTCGAGAGTACCCTCTTCGAGCGCGATAGCATGCAATCTTGGTTCTTTCACTTTCTGAACATAAATGGATCATAACGTTCTTTATATGTAAACCAAATAGACATAGAAATGGACAGATGACAACAAACCTCACACTTTCAACCTAGACCCACACAGACAAAGAAAAACCTAGACCCACGACAACACACTTAATTTCATCTTATTTCGTTTCACTAAGGACCAAGAAAAGAGAAAAAGACACTACCAAACTCTTTCACGGGAAATAGAAGTTCGACCATGTAGGAGTAGGGTTTCCATAAGGGTACGACGGCATCGGATCGTTCTTGCTGAGATTCACGGCATTGCCCTCGTCGCGCGGCTTCAGCAGCTCCATGTACCAAGGCTGGTTCTGCATGGTCTCCACGGCCACGGCATCATTCAAGGCGGCACTGTTCTTCGGAGCCGCCTCGCCATTGTCCTCCTCGGAACCCTTGTCTGCCTCCGGCTCCACCGGCGCCTCCTGGTCCGAGCCCGGCGCCACCTTCTTCAGCTTCTTGATCCTCTCCTCGATCTCCTTCCCGGTCTTCTCCAGCATCCATCCCAGGTCGTTCAGGTCCACGATGGTCAGGCCCTGGAGCCCCTCGCTGCCGACGAGGGCCCGGTACATCACCTGGCCAATCTCCTTCTCGCGGTTGTCACGCAGCTGCTTCTTCAGCTGCTCCTCAGCCTTCACGATCCTCTGCCGGATGAACCCTTGCTGGTTCACCATCCGCTTGCTCTGGTCCATCTCCGACATGTTCTTGAACCTCGCGATGGCCCGGCGCGCCCCCAGCGTGGACGGCCACACCTCCGGCTCGGCCTGGTACGGGCTGTAGACGATGGCGCACGCCTCGATCCCGCACAGCGTGCTCAGTTCGCTCACCTTCTTCATCAGGCCCTTCTTTCTCTTCTTGAAAGTGGCTTTCCTCGCGGCATCGTTGGCGATGTACGCGAGAGTGACTTTCTTTCTAGTCATGGCCAGGGGAGGATTGGTGCTCCGGAAGGAAAACGTTGGACGATCTTTGAGGTGGCTTTGTTGCCCCTTAGGGCATAGCGTTTATATAGTGTGGGGAAGAAGATCGCGCTATTAATGGACAAGATTTTGTTGCCTTCTCTTTTTCGAAGGAAATGGTCCCCTGGCAAAACAGTGCATTAGGATTCCTAGGACAATGATTGTGGTCGGCTGCTCTAATGGAAATTCAATTTGGGGTAACAAAAATTTACTATATGAGATTGCGGACTGACATGGTATGTGCCTTAGGGATTCCAGTTTTCTTTCTGTTCAGGTGAACTGTCAAAGGGTGGATAAGATCAAAATCCATTTATGGCTTCCATTTGAATTTCGACAGGAATCAAAGAAGGATCGTGTACTGGCACTGGAATTCAGCACAACTAGAATCTGGGCAATGATAAGAAAACTTGTCCGGTCAATTATGATACCCATGAGTGATTACCAGATTTGATCAGCCTCTACCCTAACACATTAGCTCACCTGCCCTTTTTTACGCAGCACCGTCCAATTTTTTCTTGATAGCGGCGGTCCATTGATCCGAGATCACGGCGGAAAGCACCGAAATGATGGCAGTTGGCACTGCCGATATGCCCAGGAATTGCTTATGAGAAAGGTATGAACAAATCGGGTGTCGTCTTCGCGCAATCATGTATGCCCATGTTCAAAAAGGGAAAAGAAGTTTCGGACGATGCTGTACGTTCGCCGATACGTTTCGGGTCCGTTGACGGTGGAGGATTTCGTTTATATACCAACATTATTGATGTCATGGCTTATATAGAATAGTTTACGAGTCTTGATAACGGAATTGGTCCTCCTGATAATGAACCTAATAAAAATCCTAATAAGATCATCATACGATCGATCCTAAGGTTGATTTCCCTAGACAAGAATTTCGTTTCATTCCTTAACTGGGAAAAAACCAAATAACGCTCTATATCTAGTTTGAGTTGTTCTTATACATTTTAGGTTCAAATTTTTTTTTGTTATTATCAACAAAAAGTTGTGGGAAAACCATAGATATGACTCGTATTTTGCATGCACTAGCCAAAGAAAAACTTTATAAGCTACTTATGTGATAACTTAACTTAGTTATATTTGAGTTACACGAATTTGAACCAATCATGGCATTACTCGAAGGTATTTGCGTGAGGTTCGTATTTTTCTTTTTTCTTTCTTTACTTTTTTTCGATTAGACAGATAAGCGCAAAATCTCTCTTTTTTCATTTTTTCATTTGTTTTCCTATTTTAACTTTGCATAAGGCAAAGTTTTTTTTTTTTTTTTTGAGGATGATGGTCGGAACCTTTTTCTTTTCAAATTGAAATCCCCTCTATTCCAATGTATATAAGCAATAAAACACCAGCAAAAACATTTCCAATTACACAGAAAAGATCTATATTTAAGCAAAGTCCGTTGCACCTTATACGAAGGACGTAACGAAGAGGCGAACGTGTATCATGATTCCGCTCCGGTCACCATACAAACCGATTGAAAGAAATTGTTACATACTTCGAGCAACGTTATGAATACGAAGAAACACGGAAGGAGGAAAAAAAAAGGAGAGGGAATGATGAAATCACTCTAGTTCTATCCCACAACACATGAGGGTCTCTGGGACTCTTACAATAACTTGTTGGATGGAGGAGCAGATGATGCTTGGGATGGAGAAGCAATCTTGACCTCATAAGTGGTAGCATTGCCTGCTCCAATCGGGTCTGTTGCTCTTTGATCGCTGTTCGTGTAGCTCCCATAGCCATTGTTGTTCCTAGGACCACCATCCCCATGTTTTGCTAGCTCTTTCCGCGCCAGCCGTTCGGCCTTGTTCACATGCTTGTCCATATCAGCTTCGGCCTCTCTCGCCAATCTCACCTCGTGTGCCACCCCCGCTCTTGCTTTCGCGTAGTCCTTCTCGGCCTACCAATGGATTTTGTTGCAAAAAAATGTCGTTAAATGGTTATTTTTCAGAACCCCCACTGTTCGAGATTGACACAATCACATACTACTAGGGATCAAAGGATATCCATGTAGTTTTGATCATATGCAAGAACCGTGACCAGAATTCAATTGCAAAGTAGGACTAGGGACCAAAATCACGCGAAATGAAAATTTGCAAATCTGATCTTCTCAAAATTTCCATGTGAAATCAAACTGAACTCATCAGTAACTCGTATACTTTGACATCAGAAAAATCTTTTGTAGCACTGATAAACCATGAAAAGTTGTTTAAATGTCAAGAGTTGAAACAATAATGTGGATGAAACAGAGAAGATTGGCTAAGAACATAAGATAACTGCACGTAGTTCGAGTCTTGGTGCGACTTGATCCTGTATACCTTCTCGTCGGCCCTCGCCTCGGCCTTGACCTTGCGCGCGGTGTTCATTTCACTAAGCTTCTCCTTAATGGCCTGCATCTCTCTCTATCTCTCTCTCTCTCTCTCTCTCAAAAATGGCTTACTGTAATGGTTTCTCAAAGCTTTCCCAGACATCAGAAGACATTTATAGGAGACGGACAGCATTCTATTCTGGGATCTCCCTCTCTTTTCTTTGTGGTTGCACTGCCTACAAGTGTCGAACATGGGGACATTCTCCATCAATTCGTGGCGGATGCTTTCTTTCTCAATAAGGGATTTGCAGCAAGTTTGGAGGGAAGCGTGTGACGAGAATGAAGTTCGAGGAATGAGATCCGAATTCAAAGCGGGCATGATTAGACATTAGAAATGGAAAGACATTTTCCATTTCAGATCACTTGCTATAATTAACGACAGACATTCTCTGCCGTTAACCAGGAAGAGAAAATCAGCCAAACAGCCACTAGAAACTTACGACCATGCAACATGGCATCGACCAAAGTATTCGGATATGAAAGCTTTCCTACAAAAATTTAACATATAAGTCAAATTCCTAAAGAAAGTAGAGAAATTACACGTGAATTTACCTATCAATATTTGCTTGTTATGAAAGTCTTTAGATGTTGTTCCATGGGCCTTCTAGGTAATCGGATCTTTACGTTTGTGTCCTAGATTTTAAAAAGAAAAGAAAGGTGTTTCGACTTTTAATTTTTGACTAACCCAACGTCAACTCTTCGATAGTCTAAAAAGAGAAGTCAAAGCATGTACGTCGCGAGATTCTAATTAAGTTTTTTCCTCTAAAATTTGCCAGATGGGTGCCAAGCCCCTCGGTGAAAACCAAACTCAAAATTGGCAAATATGAAAGACTCGTAGTCCCCGTATTATTGATTAAACGATTACAATCTAGAAAGGAACATGAACTAGACTTAAGAATGATTTAGGGTTCAAAGCTATAGCACAAGCATAAATTAAACTCACAAGAGCGGGAGTTTAGCAACATAAAACGAAGGAAAGAAAATTTGGATAAAATAAGTAAAGAATCTTGCGATTTGGTATAGTGTCGTCTCCTTCTTCTTTCCTAAGACATCATTTTAGAGTCATATGTCTCTAGGATGTCACTTTCCCGCATTTTTTTCGGACTTTTACCCGGTTTGGCATCATACTAGTCACTTTTGCCATGTGCGTGTCAATCGCCTGTGCGGCTGTGTCACGTGTCTAGCCGCGATCCCCACATCCCCTGTGCGGCTGTGTCACGTGTCTAGCCGCGATCCCCACATCCCCAGAATCCAGGGTCATGGCCTAAGTGCTGGTACTTTCTCATTTTCAACGTTGACAGCATCACCGATGTCCGAAAATCTCCCTAAAGAATTTCGATGATAACGAAACATAATCCAAAGCTCATGTCTAAACCACGCGGAAGTTAGGATATGACTCTATAGAAACATCAGTCAAATTTCACCAAGTCTTTCATCTCGTGAAGGCGCTCTAATTAACTTGAGCCACAAAGTTGCCGCTTACGACTAACACATGACCTCCCATTAAACGGAGATGACCGATCAAATTGTTGGTAGGGTGTGATCCAGTAGATCGTCCCTGTCTTTCATCTAAACCGAATCAGTTTGCATCTTCGTGTGTCAAATGGCCAATGTCGCTCTCACAATCGAGTTTCTCGTTCCTAGACTTTGTAGCCGAGGCACTGATTTAGTCACTGCGAGCTACATCCGTTGCCCCCGAACAGATCCTCGAGCTCAAGCCAGCTATTGATTTTGAGGGGTCTCGATTGGTCATTTTCAGGAAGGAAAGAAAATCACGTGACGTTTCTATATTTGAATTTCGGGTTTCGGATAGGGAATGATTTTCCAACTATTTAACTGGGACTGGAATCGTCTTCATTAAGCGAGGAATCATCAAGCAAGCATGCACCCAGAGGAAGACAAACTCTCTCCCATGGAAGAGCTTTACCCTATCCCTCTTGGTGATAGCATACCCATTCCTCTAAAACCCCCTTAAACCCTACAACTTCTTTGTCCTGTTCCTCAAATCCCATACACAATACACCTACCCAAGCTAATTACGTCTCGAATTGGGAGTTGTTCTTGCCTCCTTAGAGCTTCTTGGTGGAAAGTGTCAAAGATTCCTCGCCGAAGTCTCCTTCCATTTGGCCTTGTGTTGTCTCTCTTTGTCCTCTTGTGACAAGAAAGGGTATTTAGCTCTTGCTATCTTCGCATTTCAGGTATTTGGCTGTTTCATTCTCCATCAGCTTATGCCCTAAATTTGCTTCATTCAAACTGAAATGGAAGAGCCCAAACCCTAATTCTCGGTGGTAGTTATCACCTCCCTAACCCTTCATCCTCTATTTTCACAAGTGAAGTTGCTTCGCCCAAACCCTAACCTCTGTTTTCCCGGTGCTTTTTGGTCTCTTTCTTCAGGTGCTCTGTGTTGTTGTTCCCTGCAAATCAGGCCCTGGGTTTTCCCCTGTTGGAATCCAATGGAGGAGGATGATGCTTCAGATGCTCGCTTAGCATCCATCTGCAATAAGTTGGGCAATTTATGGTCTGAAAGTGACTTAGCAATTATTGATAGAGCGGTTCCTTTGGAAAAAATACAAGAGTGCCGATTGACTTTATATGGGCAATTGTTCTCAGCCCCTAATATTAATGTCCAGGTATTCCAATGCATGATGAAGAGAGCCTGGAGAATTGATTCAGTCAATATTACCCAGTTAGATCAAAAAAACCTTTGCCTTTACCTTTAAATTCGAGAATGAGATGAAAAGGGTGAGGGATTCGGGGCCCCGGTCTTTCTCTAGCAACCTACTGGTGCTCAAACCGTTTGTCTGGGATATTCGACTGCAATGCTATGAATATACTCATTGTGATTTTTGGGTCCAAGTGCATGGTTTGCCTATGAACTGGATCTCAGAGGAATCCATAAGGAGAATCATGGCGGCTGTGGGCCTTGTTTCTGAAGTGAAATGCGACCCAAAAGCCTCTTCCACCTTTTCAAGGGGAAAGGCTAAAGTTAGACTGAACTTAACACCCCTTTGAAGCTTGGTACGATTGCTAGCCAAGAAGGAAAGAAATTATGGGTTGATTTTAGATATGAGAGGCTGCCACACTTCTGCTATGCTTGTGGTCGGATTGGGCACTATGCCAAATTTTGTGAAGTAGAACAATATGACAAGAGCAAGCTAGAGACAGATACCCCAGGGTGTTTCAGCCTTTGCTCCGTGCGGAAACAAGAGAGTGGAACCCGCTTTGGAAATCAGTCCATGCTACAAAAGTGAATGAAGTTAGAGATGAGGAGATAGATCCTGATACTCCAACCCCCACTCTTCAAATGGTGTCTTACAAGTCACGAGGAAAGAGTTCGATAATCCCAAGCTTTGAGAATAAGATTGAGAAACCAGGACAACCCTTTTGTAAATGAACTAGTAGCAAGATGGGTTGGCGGCTGGTTTTCTAAAGATGGTCCTGACCAACCAATTCAGCCGCTAAATGCCCCTGTCCTCCCCCTAGTGAGTGAAGGGAGCTCTAGCGGCCCTCAGAAGAATTACAACAATGGAAAGAAATCAGCAAGCAAGAAGATCTAGAGAAGGTACAGTCCCTACTCCACCCAAAAGGGTCTCTCCCCTGCCTTGGACGTGACCCATCTTCTAGATACTCCGATCCAGGTTCTAAATGAGCCTCAGTTACGGGCTTTGGTGGCTAGCCCTAATAAGCCACCGGGTTTCTCATGAATATCTTAAGCTGGAATTGTCAGGGGTTGGGCACACCCCTAACAAGCCAGGAACTGCGAGCCTTAGTGGCTCGTGTTAAGCCCAGTATCCTCTTTTTGATGGAAACAAAGAACAAAGAAGTGAAGGTTCAGAGACTAATGAGACGTCTAAATTTCTAGTTTTACAAAGTAGTAAACCCAACAAGAATAGCAAGTGGGTTAGCGGTGATGTGGACGGATTCGGTATCCTTGAATGTGGTAAGGGCCTCTCCGGAGCTATTTGACTTGATTTGCTCATATAAAGTAAGCCAAACTCATATGAGAATCACATTTGTCCATGCCACAACAGTATACCAAGAAAGGCTCCAACTTTGGAGCGAGCTGCGTTACCATAGATTTGTATGGGTGATTTCAATGAAATCTTGCACTCGTGGGAAAAGATCGGAGGATGCATAGCGGATAACTACAGGCTAGCTGCTTTTCAGGAATTCCTTAATAATTGTTCCTTGCTAGATCTAGAGGGCAAGGGTTACGCGCTTACCTGGGCAAATAATAGGGAGGGAGAGGCACATGTGAAAGAACGCATAGATAAAGCCCTATGCAATATGGAATGGAGAGTAAAGTTCCCAAGTACATAAGTTCTTGCCCTACCTACGGTCGTTTCAGACCACAACCCACTATTTCTGACACTCTCACCTACCTCATCTAAAAGAAAGAGGGAATTCAAGTTCGAAGCCTTCTGGATGGAAGATGAAGATTGCATTAAAGTTGTACAGTCGGTGTGGAGTGTCCTTGGATTGGGAAATGAGAAACTCACGAGGAAATTATTGAGAGTATCAGAAGCCTTGATGAAGTGGAGTAAGGAGAAGTTCTCAAATGCGCAATGCCAAATAAATTCTCTAAAAAGAGAACTCCAGGAGATTACAAATGCCCAAACTTTGCAACTAAATAGGGAGAGGGTCAAATCTTTAAACCAGCAAATTGAAGACCTATGGAAACAGGAGGAAATGTATTGGGGCATGAGATCACGCATTAGCTGGCTGCATTGGGGAGATAAGAACACAAGGTATTTCCATGCAACCACAGTTAAGAGAAGAAAAAGAAACAAAATCTCTATGTTGAAAACGACGGAAGAAGAGTGGAGCTGTGACCTAAAAGAACTACAGGAATTGACGATGCATTTCTTCCAATCGCTTTACACCACAGCGGGTCAAAGAAACTTTCAGCCAGTAATTGATATATGCCCTACCATAGTGGAGGATCAGATGAATCAGAACATGCTAAGGAGTGCAACAATGCAAGAGGTCGAGGAAGCGACTTTTCAGTTAGGCACCAAGAAAGCTCCGGGACCAGACGGTTTAAACGGACAATTCTATCAACATCATTGGAAAATAATCCAACACAATGTGCTTAATATGGTGAGATCTTTCTTCAACACCGGCTCTCTTGACCCAAATCTGAATAAGACCCACATTGTTCTTATTCCCAAAAACCCCAACTCAGAAAGGATTTACCAGTTCAGGCCCATTAGTTTATGCAACTTCAGCTATAAAATTATATCGAAGGTCTTGGCAAACCGCCTAAAACCTTGGCTCCTTAATTTGATAGCAATGGAACAAAGCACCTTCGTCAGTGGCAGATAGATACAAGACAATATTTTTGTGGTACAGGAAGTCCTTCACCAATTGAGAATCAGCAAGAGGACAAAGAGATTTCAGGCAATTCTAAAGCTAGACATGAAGAAAGCCAATGATGGAGTTGAATGGGATTTCCTAAAAGCATGGATGATAAAGATGGGCTTCAGCACGAGATGGGTTTCTTGGAATATGGAATGTGTCTCCAGCGCTTCTCTTAGCATCAAGTTTAATGGGGAACCCCTCTCTTTCTTTAAGCCCTCGAGAGGTCTTTGCCAAGGGGACCCTTTGTCCCCATATTTATTCATTATTGTGGCAAATTTATTGTCCTTTCTCATGAAAAAAGTAGTAGATGATGAGAGTTTTAAAGGAATCAAACTAAACAGGAACTGCCCCTGCCTATCCCATTTATTGTTTGCAGACGACTCAATCTTCTTCTTGGATGGAAAGGTCAGGGAATGCCAAAACCTAGCATCTATCCTTCATTAATATTGCTTTGCATCGGGTCCGGAAATCAACCTCAACAAATCGGGTATTTTCTTTAGTGCGGGGTGTCCATTTCAGCTGAGAAGGAAAATAGCGCAAGAGATGCGTGTTCCGGAGATCGACAAAACTAGAGAGTATTTGGGCATAGCATGGATACTAGCAAGAGTAAACATAAAGTTGGAAGGTTGGAAAGAGAATTTTATCTCCAAAGCGAGAAAAGAAATATTAATCAAAATGGTGGTACAAGCTTTGCCACAGTATGTGATGTTTACTTTTAAAATTCCAGTATCTATTTGCAAAGCCATAGAAAGGAAGATAGCTTCGTTCTGGTGGAAAACGCATGCCTCCAAAGCTAGCCTTCATTGGAAAAAATGGGAAACGCTGAAGAAAAGGAAAGACAAAGGTGATTTGGGCTTTAGAGATCTTCTTACTTTCAATAGAGCAATGTTGGGAAAACAAGCCTGGAGAGTCGCATAAGCTCCAAACGCTTTATGGTATAAAGTACTTAAAGGAAGGTATTTCCCAAATTGTGACTTCTTGCATGCTGCTAAGGGTTCTCGTCCTTCATGGGGTTGGCAAAGCCTACTAATAGGTAGAGAAGCGATTTCAAAGAAGGTGAGATGGAAAGTGGGTAAGGACCAACAAATCAGAATCAGAGAGGATGGATGGTTAGAAAGGGGTGTATTGAGAGGGCCATATAACCAACAAGATCCCAATATGGTTGCTGAATTGATTGACTCAACGGAAAAACAATGGAAGGGACAACTATTGGGGAATTTCTTTGATGAGCAAGTCGTTAATGAAATCCAAGCAACTCCATTGCCAATCATCTCGACAAAGGATAAGCTAGTTTGGTCAGCAAATAAGTCTAGGTGATAATTGGTTAAAAGTGGTTACAATCAACTTTGAAAGATTGAAACCATACAAGACAATGGGCAGGCTTCAACCTCCTACCAAATGCCTAATTCTCTGTGGAGCAAGATCTGTAAACTAAAAACACTCCCCAAAGTCAGATTATTCATGTGGAGCATTTGCCAAAATGCTCTACCAACCAAGATTAACTTGTATAAAAGGAAGCTTTTACCTAAGCCTTACTGCCCCATGTGCCGCAAGGAACCCAAAAGAGTGGAACATCTATTTCTCCTATGTGATAGGACAAAGCAGGTTTGGTCGAGTCCATAATTCAATTTTCAGTTCTCTCACCAACAAGTGACCAGAATGGAGGAGTGGTTGCTGAACTATGAAGATTTGACCCAAAAGAACCTATCCTTTGAGATCATCCCAGTCACTCTCTGGAATATTTGGTTAGCGCGTAATTCCTTTGTCTTCCAATACTAGATTCCTAGTCCCAGAAGCATAGTAGACTCAGCTTTTGCCATGCACTACAATTATGCGAAGTGGCACGAGGGCAACAAGACGGAGAGCGAGCATCGAAGGATTTACCTTCGAGGTGGAGACCACCACAACCAGGGACGTTGAAGATTAACATCGATGGATCACATCTCCCAAGGTCTACGAAAGGGGCTTTTGCTTTTGTGTGCCGCAATTCTGAAGGGAGATTGATCGAAAGAGCTGTGCAACCAATCCGAGGGTCCTTCGCCCTTCACTCTAAAACCCTTGCTTGTCTCTACACTCTTCGACACTTTGCTGGCCGATCTAGACAAAAATTTGTGTTGGAAACTGATAGCTCCACCTTGATAAGCTTCCTACAAGATTCATCTCTCTGCTCTTGGGATGTTAAGCCCATTATCACATAATGTTTAGGCTTCATGGCCCTTTTTTAGAGTCTTGAGTTAGCCTACTGCTCTCAAGACTCAAATAAATTAGCAGATTGGGTTGTAAAGGCCTCAAAATTTAAGGCCCTTCCACGTTATTGGGTTTCTTACCCACCACCCTCTCTATGGAAGATCATGTGTTTTATTGCCCTTTACTCTAGAGGGTTGGTTGTTAAATAAAATAATAAGTCTCTGTTATGTCCAAAAAAAAAATTGGGACCGGTTCGCGAGTTTCAATGATGGATTTGGGCATTAATACGGCCATAGGGGTGCATCCGGGAATGCCTTGCGAAGAAGCTACGTAGTAGGACCTTGTGCCAAAATATTTGGTGTTTGGTCCAAAGTTTTGCTTTATAAACGCTCAAAACCTAATACGAGCAACCTGTGGTTTGGCTTTGCACTTTTTAAGAAGAACAACTTACCTCGGTTAATAAACATTTTTTATCCTCACTTAACCGTCAGGAAATTTTTATTATTTCTGCCCCATTTTCATCTTCTTCAATTTGCAAGAAGTTCGCAAAGAAAGAGAGGCGAGTGGCGGCAGCGTCGCCGTCACCATGCTCCGGTTAGTCCCCCTAGGGTTGTGTGACTTGGGCAAGCCACTCGCAAAGCTTGTTGGTGGGGTTGCAACCCTCACCCGAGGTCTCGTGACCCCGGCGTCACCTCGCCGAGGTCACGTGACCTCTCCACCTTGTGGAAGCAATCTTGCACGAGAGTTTCCCTTCGGCGGATGTACTGCTCATGTCATTTGCATTTTTCTCCCTCATTTTAAAAGCTCTTTCGACTCAAGGTTTGGGATTGTGCCGGCTAGCCGAAACTTGATCAGATGAAGCATTACGTACCAGCCCGTTACAACCAACCTACGGGTCAAAGAGAAGATAAAGAAGAATGAGGGAACAATGGCTGAGATTTGAGAAAAAAACACTACGCCGCATATTAGTTTATGAACTTTTATCTATTTAGTTTGCTAAAAATAATTCGTCAATGGAAATTCATTTACAGCAAATATAAAATTATATACATGTTTTAAGTTAAGAAAATAAATTTCCTAATCTGAAAAGGGGAAAATATTTTCCCGAAAAATTATTTCTCGAAAAGTAATATTCCTTTACCATTAAAATTTCTCCGAAACAAACACACTCGACTCACTTCATTTTCCATATCAACATAGAGTTGAGCTCGACACTTTATTTAGATGAAAAGAGAGAGAGGGGGAAAGGATTATAACTTATTGGACGCACGTAACAAATTTATTCTTATTTTTTTTATTTTTATCCTTAATATAAATTTATTTATAATTATATAAATATATATTTATGCCCTACTACACTTATTTTATTCATTCATTTTTTTTCTTACTAACATCTAAACAATATTATTATAACTCAAATCCCCACAAATATATTTTCTCCGCTTTTTTACCATGATTATCCAAACTCTTCATTTTCCGACCCAATCGCCCCCACCAAATCTGAGCCCGAGCATCGTTTCCGAACAGAAGCAAGAAAAAAAACGGCGACGGCGGCGGCCAAGGTCGAGTTCGGCTGTTTCTGTCCGAGCATTCACTGTCTCCATGTCCGCGTGATTGGGTACGAGGAAGAACCAGTTGAGGTTTCGGCTGATTTGCTTCTGTATTCGAGTTATCTGAGTTCTTGAGCGGACGTTGGGTAAGCTGTGCGTGGGGTAGTTTGTCTGCGAGCTTCATTTGTGGAAGAGTTCCTGATTTGGGTCGTGCTTGTCTCTGACTCTTAGGGGTCGGAGAAGGGTTGGCACTCCACGCTCGATCAAGAAGAAGAAGAAGAAGTTCCATGGCTTCGATCTCCTCCGGTAATGGCCAGGAAGATCAGGTACTGAGCTCCGTTACTTTACATACAGGCAATGCAACCATACTGTACAGAGAGGCACTGGGGTCTTTGTTTCTTCCAGTGTTGCGTGAGTAGTGAATTGGGTCGAGGCTTCGATTAGATTTTGCTTATGCTGCTGAGTTTGATTGCCCCTGCGCTTTGAATTACCGATGGATTTGAATTTTGGCGACGCTATCGGGGTTCGAATGATGATGGGTGTCTGATAAAAATCTTATTTTAGCTGGAATTACCGAGGGATGAAGCTTGAGATGTTGTTCTGCTGATTGGAACATTGCATTTTAGTGCCCTAGAGCGCAGGAGTACTATTCTCTGGATGATTATAGCCCGACAGAACTGTGTTATACTCCTTCAAGAACTTGTAATGGAGATTCGATTTACTTTGTTTCTGTAGGTTTTGGTGGAGGAGAAGTTATTTGTGAGAACACTGATACTCAACAGACCCAAGCAACTGAATGCTCTTTCATATTCTATGGTGTGTCTCTTATCTGGCTGCTGGACACTCTGTGCAGTTTCATTCACTCTTACTGTTTGGTTGGAAGTGTCGCATGGGGTTCTTTGTTATATTGGTTGCCGATTTGCTGTTTCTCCGTTGAGGCTTTTCAAACTAATCATGGGTGTTGCTTTTTTGCGAAATGGTTCGTGGAATTTATTTGTTGAGTTTTCCTATCATATAGCACCTGAAATACTTCACTTTCGAGAAAGCTCTTTCCACAATCCAAAAATTATTCGTCAGTTTCATCATACAGGATAAACTAACATCTGATTGCATTATCTAGTCTATCATTATAAGGTTTTTACTTTCCTGCTCTTGTCTTGCATTTGATTAATTCCTTGGAGACTGCATGTGGCTTTGCTAAGAGCAGTATTAGTGTTCTGCTTAACTTTTTGGGTTTGTATTCTTTTTCCTAAGAAAAAATGAATGTGCCATTTTTATGCGAACTTTGGAAGCACGCATTGCGAAAGGTCATAGGGAAAGAAGGTTATTATATGGGATCAATAACCAAATCTAGCGACGCCCACATACATGTCAAGGATATTATTAGATCCTGCATAAAATACGTGAGTCTCTTTGTAGCACAGTTCAGCCTGAATAACCTCTTTTTGTTGCATCAAGCAAAATATATCTGTGGAATTGTCATGCAGTAGTACCATTTTCTGTTTCTTTTTTATTACCTTTTATGCCTTTTGTGATAGTCACCTTGTTGGCATTGGAATTTTGTTGTCATTTCAGATAATTTAAATAGGTGACATACTTGTTGTCTCAACCTCAATAGCTCACATCGTTAATTAAGCTTTGTTTGCTACATGGCTATTGTATAACCATTTGTTACTATTATTCGCAGATATCTCGGTTATTGGAACTTTTCCTTGTTTACGAGAAGGATTCTAATGTGAAGTTGGTAATCTTAAAGGTACGTTGCTTCATACAAAGCATTTTTTTATGACTGTTAAGAGCCCTCCAAATTGCACAAGTAGAAATATCAGGATCATGAGCCTTGAGACTGTCTTTTGGGAGATTGGTAGATTCTTTCTGCCCACTGAAAGATTGGTAGAGTTTATTGGACTTAGTTTGGTGAACTTTGTCTTGCTGGTGTACCATTTAGGGCTGTGCGCTCACTTATGTATATGTTTTACAAAATTGTCAATTTATTAATATGCTTGAGCAGCAAGGTAAATTATGTTTTGTTTGCTTCTTTGACTGGATTTAAGACCTATTTTTTGGGTGACATATCATATACATGGGGACTAGTGGTGTATTATATGAGAAATAAAAAATTTCTGGAGCTTTTGGGAATTGGATGGCCTTTCAAATGTCTGATTATGAGTTGCAGAGGGTGCATTCTAGCTTCGAATTATTGTTGGCTGTTTATGAATTTTGCATTGGTCAATCATTTGGAAAGGTAAACAACCCAAAGATGTCTGTCGTTGAAGTAATACATCTCATCTATAACAAAGTGCTCATCTATTTAGGCTTCACAGTCATGCTTTCTCAAGTTCAACATCACATTAGAGAACAGTTGTCAAATTGGCCTTGTTGGCAGTCATTGTTATTGAGGAGACGATTGTTGGCTCCTTTAGATTGCAAGACCTTAATGATTACTTGACATTGTTAGATCTTGTGGCCCTTATCTTCTATTACAATGTTCTCCTTTCATACGTTGCTATCCCAATTTGGAAATCCTACATATTTTCTTAGCTCAGGGATCACTGTTTTGTTTGTGTTTTTGTTTCTGTAGGGAAAAGGGAGAGCTTTATGTGCCGGTGGTGATGTCGCAGCTGTTGTGCGTGATATCAACAATGGTACAGATTATTTTAGTGGTTTCATGGTTCATCTCATACTGACTGTAAAGTAAAAAATAGGGCCGAACTGAACTTATATCCCATTATGAGTAGATGCACTTAAGCTTCTAGATTTCCCTTTTCTCAAGGTGAAGTTTCACATGCCAATAGTATCAATCCTTCATTAACCTATCAAAACATCATGATGTCCATCAGTTTCTGACAAGGCTTGATCTCTGTTATATGCAATTCATATGTTGTTCGTTCGGACTAGGAAAGTGTATGATTGTTGATAACATTGTTTTCTGTAAATGTGCTAGGAAATTGGAAGTCGGGTGCAATCTTCTTTCGGAAGGAGTTCACTTTAAATTATCTGATGGCAACATACAGTAGACCTCAGGTGATCTGATATTATAATCGGTATCTTTTTGGGAGTTCATAATAGCGACATCAATGTTAGTGTATCTAAGGAGTCTTCATTTGGATGTATTCATGTAGTCTTACTTTTTACATGCTGGTTTTAATGAAGGTATCAATCTTGAATGGCATTGTCATGGGAGGTGGGGCTGGTTGTTCCATACATGGTTGTTTTCGCGTGGCAACAGAAAATTCGGTATTGCCTCTTTATGTTGGCTTACATTTCCTTTTTATTTGTTAGGCAATCTACTGTTATTGTTTGTGGCAGTCAGTGGTGAGTTGTAACACACAGGTTACTTCTAAGCTCGTCTGATTTAGAGAGTGCATTCCTTGAAAGAAATTTTTATTTTTGCATTAGGCACTTTGCTGATGTCATTAATCTCGCTTACCATTTCACTAGTAATGGCTGATCCGCAGCTTAATTATTTACCGAAAATGCTGGTGAAATTGTTTAATTAACTGACATCTCCTATGGAATAGAGCATGTGTTCCTTGTTTCAAATTCTGGTTGAAGAAAGATCATGATGATGCATTTTGATATAATATTATCATCCACCCAATCATGGGTGGTTGGTAGAGGAAATAAATGAATTTAAGATTATTATCACTAGAAGTGGGACTGAACAAGATTCAGTGAAGCACGCAGAGTCACGGACACAAATAAATCAGTTATTCCTACTGTCATCAACATGTGTTTGAAGCAGGAGGATGATAGGAGGTAAAGGTAACCACAGAAGAATATGAGAGCTCAGGGCCCAAAAGAATAACTACCAAACGTGAAAGAAAATAGCTAATTAAGTTGGATATTCTTACATTGTTCTAGACTCTTCAAGCATAGACCCTCATTTTACACCATGAATGAAAAACCTTAAAGTGTCATTGAAGTTAGAATTCTTGGAGAGAATGTACAATGGAGTGTAGCCTGCCATTTTCCCCTCTTGGGCTACTTCTGGGGATTTCATAAATATGTTTAGTTCGTAAAGAGCACGTATGTTTGAATAAAGAATGTTTCCCCAGCTTTATACATGGATAATATACATATCTAGGTGGGCAAGGTTCCACAGAAGTTAATACAAGACTTACATAAATTTATTGTGCATTCACTTCTATGTACCTATATATTATCTGATATATGTGACTTGAGATCAGTTGACCCCACTTAACGAGATTGAAATTGTTGTTTGCTTAATGAATAAGGCACAGTAGATGTCTAGTGGCAAATTCTTAAAACAGATGTTTGCTTGTGGAACATAAAATGGTTATTTTCTCAATACCTTTTACCACTCGATATGCAATTTGTTACATAACCTAGAGTATCTAACCAATACTGCAGATATGTGTTAATTAGAGTGCTGCATGTAAGCAAGCAATTGGTGGGTGCTATTGTGGTGTTGATTGTCCAGCTTCTTGTTCCGTTAACATCATTCTTATCAAGATTTCCAGCAGCTTTTATCAGCATAGTTTGGTTAATCTCGTTGCAGGTTTTTGCTATGCCTGAAACAGCTCTGGGTCTCTTTCCAGACATAGGTGCCTCATATTTCCTGTCAAGGCTCCCAGGACATTTTGGTAATGGCCAACGATAGGAAAGGGCACTTTATCTTCCTATCTAGTTTTATGAGTCAATATTAATTGAAGATTAAAAGTTACTAACTTCTGGAAGTATGTAGATATACTTATTGGGTAGAGGTTCAGTTGTTAATTCTGTCAGGAGCATTCTACTGGTAGTGCCTGTGGAAGTGCTACTCTGTTCAATGAATGACTTAGAAAACTTAGGCGACAACCAAAACGTTTGAGTTCTTGAATCAACATATCATAAGCCGGTGGGCTTCCATCTTATATTCATATAATATAGCAGATTCGCAACCATGTCAATTTGGGATTTAGGAAGCATATTCTTCAGAAGATTGGGAAACTTGAGATAAGGAATAATTTCCTCGAACTGTATGTCAAGAGGACAGACAGTGCAATCGATGGAGCCACAAACGATACATAATAGTGATTATATTGCTAGATGATGCTACTTAATGAAATGTAGGGTTGACATACAATAGTGACCATCCACTTTTTACACTTTGATTATAACCTGGTGGGTGATGAGAAGAAAACAACATTCTTTCTGGTGTTTTGGGTTGAACCTTGGTTTCAGTTGCTTCTGTTTGGAAGTTGGATAAATTTCCAGCTGGAATATGCAAATTGATTCTTTTCCTTTTCTTTATTTTTTCTATTTTAAGCTGAAATATGAATGACACAAGTGTGACTGCATTCATTTGTTTTGAGTTCTGCTA